GCCCGCGTTGGCTGCATCCCGCCTGAGCCAGGAGGGGATTTGCCTCTCCCGAGCTCTTCGTGGGTGTGGGAAAGCCAAGATGCCTTTCCCGATCCTCTGCGGTGCTTCCCGGCCCACTGCGCGCTTTCCCAAAACGGAGCTGTTGGGTGGCAGTCGGCATGATCCATCCTAAGGATCCATCCTCAGGATCCATCCTCGGGATCGGCACAGTCATCCTGAGGATTCATCCTCGGGATTGGCACGATCATCCTGAGGATCCATCCTCGGGATTGGCACGATCCGTCCTAAGGAGCAAGGAGAAGGAGCCCTCACGAGCACCACGAGCATGTTCCGCACGCACAATTCCCGAGCTGGGAATTCCTGCCCGGACCCCATGTGCTGGCCCCGACATGGGAGACATCGTGCAGCGAATTCGTGCAGTTTTGTTGAAATTCCTGCAATTTCACAATCTCGGTGCACTTGCGAGGCACAGTAGCCAAGAGAAATAAAACTCGTGCCACAGTTATTTTTTTAATTCCTTTTTTTTTTTTCTTTAATTCTCTCCGGGCCGGCCTGCGGCTGCCAAGCAGAGCGGCGCTACGCGGTGCCATGCAGCCCTGCTCCAAAATGACTCATTTATAAGTCAATTAGCGCCGCGGGGGAGCGCCTGGCTGCTTCCGCGGAGTCCCCGCTCCTGCATCCTGGTTATCCCGGGATTGCTCCGCTCCGTTGCGGAGCCCGGGTGCTGCTTCCCTCCCCACCTGCTCCAGCAGCAGCGGCCGGGCTGTGCGGAGCCGCTCGGCTCCCACAAGGATCGGAGCTCAGCGCCGAGGTCTCTGTGCCAGCTGGCTCGGAATGCGGAGGAGCCAAGAAAAACAAGGGAAAAAAGAATCCATTTTTTTCCTCCAACTCTCTGCTTTATTGGCGCTTGTAGGCATTTCTCTGTGGTTTGTTGCATTCGCACCGGCCGACATTCCCTCCCGCAGGGCCGCGGGAGCCTCCCTGCGCGCAAGGGCTGGATTTGTCCGACATTCGGGAAAACCGCATCCCGCAGCAGGTTCCCCCGGCCCTTTCCCTCTGCTGTTCCCAGCACCTCCTGTTATAGCTGAGCCGCTGCGATCCCGACGGAGCTGGCGCCTTGGGGCAATAATCTCCCAAAACAAGTGCCGATTCCTGACGTATTACAAATAATAATAACAAAAAGGCGCTGAATCACGTCCTGCTGCTGCCCCAGAAGTCGTTTAAGGCCCCTCGGGCTTTGCGGTCTGCCACCCTTGTGTGGCTCCGTGCCTGGCCATTCAGCCCAGCTCCCGTTGGGAAAGTCGCTTTCCAGGGAAACACTTTCCTCTTCCTGGAGCAGGAAGGCTCTGCAGGTTGTTTTGGAAGAGCCTTCCCAAACGCCACTGTTTTTGCCTGGAGCTTCTTCTTTTCCGTCCTCTCCATCCTTCGGCAAACCACCCTCACCCATAGCCCTTTCCAGGGCCCAGTCCTCTCCCGGAATCCGTATGGGGACACCGGGACAAGGCTGCTTTCCACACAGCCAGCGCCAGGCTTTCCCTATGCAATACACAGGTGTATTTGCCCGGGAGCCCAGCGAATCCTCTTACTTTAATGGGAATAATCCCATTAAACATCCCCTTCTCGCTGCACAGAGCCAAGCCCTCCAGGAGCAGGCGGAGAGGATCCGGAGGGCTGAGCTCCTTAAGGAATTAACGGAGAGGAAGACCCGGCACGGGACCCCCCGGCTACATCCGAGGCTTTGGTCCATCCTGCGGGGGGGAAACATCCGAGGCAGCTCCGGAGCGGTCACAAAGTTCCCATCAGGAACACGCGGTTTTCCAATATTACCGTGAAACCCCGTGTTTTATGAGCAAAACACGGCAGCTGGCAAAGGTGCCAGGGGAGACCCTTTCCAGGAGCCCACGGTGCTCATTTTCGCTCTTTTTCCCCCCAAAACGCCCGTGCCCGGACTGACACTTTCCCACTCGGCGCTGGAGGTTCCCTTCGATAAAGCGGCCTTTTCTACGGGGATATTTTCAGCTCGTATTTCTAAATATTACTCATAAAGGCCCCCTCTGGACAACCTCTCTCCCTCCCTGCGTTTGTTTATACGCTTTGAATTCTGTGAGGAAAGCATCTCCCCGCTCCGGCTCTGTTTTATCCAAGTTTTCCATATTTAGTTCTTTCAGCTATTCCTGCTCCTCCGGCCGCTTCCCGGCGCCCATCCCGGCTCTCCGGCCGCCCCCTGCCCTCCGCAGCCACGGGGGGAACCCGGCATCACCCCCAGGTCCCAGCCCTGATGCGAAGACCCCCAAAACTGGTGCTTTCTGCCCAAAACGGTGCCAGGCGGCACTCGGGGAGGACCAAGGGACAGCTCCAGCCCTGGCACTCAATCCTTCCGCTTGTCCTTGTTCCTCCTGCCCCGTGGGACCTGCCTTTTTCCCTCCCTTTTCCAGAGAAATTGCACACAAGGGGTGACCGGTTCACAGCAGCCCCAGGCTCCCGCCGCATCCCATGCGCGCTCCAGCATCCCACGGAAAAATCCCGCGTGGAAAAGGGGGCACGGCCCCGCCGGGAGCGCCCGGGCTCTCCGCGCGGGCGCCGTCCTAGGGCTGGACAGAGTTAAAGGCGGCGAAGGAGGGTTCCCGCGGCACGTGGCCGCCCGTGGAGCCGCCGCGCAGGCTGGGGGCGGGGGTGGCCGCTGCCGTCGCGCACGGGGGGGGGAAAAAAAAAAAAAAAAGAGCCACCGCTCCGGGGAAAATTAGTGTCGTGCTCGGAGCGCCAAGGTGATTCCAAGGTCGAGGCGGGAGAGGGGAGCGTGGAAACTTTCTCGCGTGGGAGGAGTGCGGGGACGGCGCGTCCTGTTGGCTCCGTCGGGACGGCCGTGCTTGGATGCGGCCGGGATGCAGGGATGCACCGGGGTGCTGGCGGGAGAGCGGGTCGGCGCATCCCGGTCGCTGGCTCAGGGGGGCGGGGGG